AGACAGACGATAGATAGATAGATAGATAGATGATAGATAGATAGATAGATAGATAGACAGATAGATAGATAGAATTATATTAAATATATTTTTACAAAATTGTTTATATATTTTTGTATCTAAATAGCTGCATGTCAGTTTTTTGTGATAATTATTTTAGTTATCATGACTAAAGTCATTGTATCCTTTATTTTAATCAGTTTAATCAACCTTCACACCTATCTTTTATTTCACCACTTTCACAAATCTTAATTAGCCATATTTCTTAACATTTGCAGGAGTTTGTGAGTCTGCGGTCAGATAAGCCATGGATTACAGTGCTGGATAAAGAGCACATGTGTAAATGTTAGGACAATCATTCAGACCCTGTCCTTTCATATCAGCACTTTCATAACCACTGCTTTATGTGACATTTTTACTGAGATTTGTTATGAAACATTCTAGATCTAAGACTGTGCTTCTGTGTTTTTGATTGAGCACTTAGAGTATCTGATGTAAAATATTCCCTCTGGATGCACTAGTATAAAAGTGTCTATCCATACTATTACTGAAACTCCGTTAAACATAACTGTGAATGAGTGTGTGATCAAATAACATTAAAACAGATTCTATAAAGTGTCAAAACATCATTGATTAAATCACGACATCATGCTGTCTTAGTTTCATTCCTCATGATGACATCACACTGTGCTGTGCTGGTGGATCAGGAGGTTTTAGCAGCTTATGTTCTCTGACTGGACGACACACTCCTGGCCCCACATTCCTATGGCTTGTCATCTGTATCAGAATAACGTAGTGCAATGAAAAAGGAAAATCAGCTCATCTGCATCAAGGCATAACACAGAGACACTCTTCTTTCATCTCTACTTAATTGTTCTCCATCTTTTTCTTTTTAATTTAAATTGTATTGTTAATTGTATTATTACTTTTATTATATCCCCGCCCCCCCCCCTCTTCTTTATTCTTTACTCTTCGTTACATAGTCAGATCGGAGTTTATATGGTTTTGTCTTTTTATATCTTGTCCTACTATGTCCTGTCACATGTAAAAATAAATAAATAAATAAAAGTCTACATTTGTTGGCTCTAAAACAAACTTGATTTAAAAAGAGAGAGAGAGACTAAAAATCACAAAAGTGGGCCACAGTGTATATTAAAATGTATATGAATAAAAAGTAACATTTATTTCTAATAGGATATATTTATTTATATTTATTTTATGTTTATAATGTTGCCATGTTGTCGTGAGCAATTAGGCGAGAGATTCAATAAAACAGAGCACTAAAACCATTATCTATCTATCTATCTATCTATATGAAGAATTCAGATGCAAAAGCCTCTAAGTGCAATCTGAAATTTTCATCATTTTATCAGGCTCCTATATTTATGTTCAGTTATTTCACTTTAATGGCATAGAAAAGGACCCAAACATTGCCATTAAAGTGAAATTACTGAACCTAAACATTGGAGCCTGATAAAAATTATAATTTTAGAAGAAATTTTCAGATGGCACTAAGAGGCTTATCTGAACTCTTCATTCATATATATATATATATAATATGACATATACATATATATATGACACCCACTTGATGTCCACTGTAAAATCTAAAACAAAACCAGCTGAGATTCCCTGAAGACAAATCAGAGGCATCCCTAATTCACTTCAAAGTGGAAAAAGTGACATTGGACGCATTTAATGCCATGCCGTTGACATCATTTTAACAGAGCGGCGTGACGTCGCAATTGGACGTCGGCCTCGGCCAATCAGCGCTCGCTCCGCACACGCACAAATGGGAAGAGCTTAAAAAAGATTGTGGCAAAGAAGATGTGGCCCAAACCTTCCCACATGATCGGACAGTTGCACTGGAGATTCCAGATCTAACATTATATCGCCATCCTCTCGTCTGAATCCGTTGAAAAGCGCAATGACAACGCAGTTCAAGAGCGGACCCGCTTTCGGACTGTCTGCGGAGGTCAAGAGTAAGGTAAGGTAGGCGTCTGCTTTGATTGACAGCTGTCAAAGATGCGCAGGCAGCACGTGCGCTACTCAAGTTAAACATTTCAGAGTATCATTTATTCTGTAATATAGCCTATACAAGGATTTTTTATACTTTTTTAAGTGCTGCCATCAATTCAAATATGTCAACAACAGGGTGTGAATTATGAGGATCCAAACCAGTCTGCACCAAAGTAAGATAAAACAAAAGGTTAAGAAGGAAAAGCGGGTTTAAAAGTGTAATCTTTCAAACTGAATTTCAGTAACCAAAAAATTAAAGTATGCTACGTGCGCTAAAAAGAGAATAAAGCGCGTTCATAAAGAACGTTTCCATAGCAACACTTCACAGCTCGAACGCTTTCTTTTTGGAGCGAGTAGGCTTATTTTCACCGTATTAAAGGTTTATATTGCACACATATGATTATTGTTTTGTTTTAAACGCCTTAGAAATGTGAACGTTTAGCTAGCTGTGCTAGAGACGCCGAAAGTAGGCTATAATTCGCACTGCGATCAGAAATTACTTTGTAATATTTTAAAACAGAACACGGACAAGTGGTCAAAAATATACATTTTGTCAATAATGTGCCCTATTAAAGTGTAAAATGTGGTGACATCCATAACAAAGCTGAAATTATGAATGGATAAACTCGCCTCAGCTTCTAGCTAAACTGTACTAACTTAGCAGAACTTTATCAAAACACGGAATTATTGTCATTGTTGACATCTAGCACTCATTCCTAATTATGAAATGTCATGAACGCAGGTGCAAATTGTTGTTTAGTTGATTTTAGTCAAATTTGCGCATTGTTTTGATGAAGTTGTGTCTATAAAATGGCGAAAACCATTTCAGTCAAATTGAAATATTTGACAGCTTTGCCTGTGATGTCATCCCTCAGTCATAGTTTTTGTCCTTGATCATATCATTCTGTACTAAAGTAATGTACTTATGTTCCTCATGACATAATTTAATTGATTCTGCCACATTTATTCCCATTAGTGGTCCACTTTTAAAAATACCTCAAATTTTGGCTTTTTGCCTTTAGCTGTCATTGACATCCCCATCCCGCTTCCTGAGCACCACACATATCTGTGTTCTCTGGTATACCAGAAGTCATGCTGCACAATTTCAGGTGTCACACTGTGGATTCTGCATGTCATTGGTGTTATGTCAGGAGTGTCTTCCTGAGCACTAGGTATGTGGTTTTCGGTCCCCATATAAGGAAGAGTTGTGTTCACTCACAATATCTGGGAAGAGGAACATGTTGTAAACAGTTTAGAATAAGGAGGAGCATTGTTGGACATCCTAATACTGGAAGATCATCTTTGTTCCAGCCAACAGGGAACGCTTGCAGAACTTTCTGGCAAGATTCTTTTAAAGTCATGAACAAACATTCTTCCAGTAGCATTAATAGAACATTAATTCAAAGTTATCTGGTCTTTAATAGTGAGGGGGGGGAAATCTATACACTCTTAAAAAATAAAGGTTCCAAAAGGGTTTTTTCATAGTGATGAAATAGAAGAACCATCAAAAGCCTTCAGTCAGTTCTTAAAAGAACCACTTTTTTTCTTAGTGTGAAGAAAATTTGAAAAATCTGAAGAAACATTTTCCGCTATATAAAGAAACTTTGGTGTAGCGAAAAGATTCCAGGGATGTTAAAGGTTCTTCACAGAATCATAGATGCAGATAAAGAACCTTTATTTTTAGGAGTTAGGAATCATATACAGTGTAACTGCTAAAAATAACTGTCAATGTACAACATGCAGGTATTTCTAGTATAACCAAGGGTGTAAAGGAATGTTATCCAGGCAGTCTGTGACATGATTCCTGCTTTTAAAAAAACCTGGTCTTGGCCTGGACTATATAGAGTTAGACTGAGGTCTGTTCCAGATGTCCAGAATGAGAGAAAAACAATAAATCAAGCTCTGAGCAGAATTCCTTGGAAGGGTATGAGTGCTATCGGTCTTGGTGTTCTTTTATCGGACACATTTAGCGTGTGCTAAGTACGTCACTTCACACGAGCAGACAGGAGCGAGAAGAAACGATAGTGAGGAGCTAAAAATCAGAATGGAGGGCTGATCGGATGAGACACGCAGCTGTGGATAGAGAAGTGACATGGAGGACAGAAAGAGAGAAAAGGCCAACAATAACACTGATTTAAAGTTACAGCGTTTGTTTGGCTTCCACACCAGCGCACCAAACTTGGGAGAAACAGCTCTCTCAGATCTCTCGCTCTCTCTCTCTCTTCCTTTTTTCTGTCTTGTTCTTCCTTTATTAGAAATACTTCAGGAGTGAAAGACTGTGATCTATTGCGTAGCTGTTGGGAGTAAATATTTGCCAACGCAGCAATACAATAAAGGAGACGATCCAAGTTTTTGCATGCAGGAATGTCCCCAGCATTCCCAACCTTATATTTTATATTCCACTTCTTCTTTTCCTTTACAACTCGCTCAGCCATCCATAATGTTTTATTTTAAGAAATCCATCTGTCTGATGAACTGAGACAAAGGGAAACATTAAAAATAAGTTATGGAGTTTATTTGGAAGAAACATGCTAGAAAATGGTCATTTTCATCAAGAAAATGTTTTGGATCAAGAGCAAATATGCATGTCTTGTCATTCATCTTTTTGTAATCAACAGCAAGATTTTATTTTTAACATTTATACACTATAAGCTACTATTCAAAAGGTAGAAAAAAAAATTATTTTGAAAGAGGTTAATACTTGCAAAATATTAAGCAGTAAAACTGTTTTCAACACTGACCAAAAAATGTTTTTTGATCAGCAAATCAGCATATTAGAATGATTTCTGAAGGATCATATGACACTGAAGACTGGTGTAAAGATGCTGAAAATTCAGCTTTGATCACAGGAATAAATTACATTTAAAAGTTATTTTAAATTATAATAATATTTTACATGATCACAGTTTTCCTGTTTTTTTTTTTTTTTTCAAAATAAATGTAGCCTTGTTGGGCATAAGAGACTTATTTCAAAAACATTAAAAAATCTTACTGACCCCACACAGTAAAGTGTATGTGTGAGTAAAAGTGTATATTTAAGTGTTTATTTTATATTTTCAGATTTTTATTTGACTGTTATTTTTTTAATTTAACTAGCCATTCAGTGCAGCAAATGAAATAAACGCTGTATGTGTAATAATTCTTTAAAAAAAGTACTGTAGAGTATATAAATTCTGCAAGTTAGATGTGTGTAGTAATGTTTTGACCTTTGACCTCCAGCTGGCCCACAAATATGACCCAAATAAGGAGGAGGAGCTAAGATTGTGGATCAGCGAAGTCACGGGCCGTAAACTTCCCGAGAACTTCATGGAGGGGCTGAAAGACGGAGTAATACTCTGCGGGTGAGTGATGCCCTGATTCATTCAATCTGTAGCTCATTAACAGCTATGAAGTTCAAATAACAGATTATTCAAAGGATGTTAATCAGTCACTCGTTTTTACATGTTTATTTTTTATGAGCAGGCTTATCAACACTCTTCAGCCCGGTTCTGTTAAAAAGATCAACAACTCTCCTCAAAACTGGCATCAGGTGAGCAAGAATATCACATTTGCAAGCATATCTGCTTGTTCCAGTTCAGGTCCAGCAGGAGGCGCTGACACGATTAAATGTGATCTGCACTAGGAACAGCGTTGCCAAGTCCGCGGAATTGGGCTACTTTAACACTGTTGCCGCGGGTTGTTTTTCATGTCTGCGGGTTGAAGCGACTCCAATAACATGATATTTATTATTTTATATAATATTTTATTTATCCCCTGGAATGCGAATTTTAGCAGGGGAACCCCACCAAAAAAACGTGTATTTTACCCCCTGGAATGCGATTTTTAACTGGGGATCCCCTCGAAACACGATTGGGCTAGTTTTGAGTAGAGATTGGGCGGGTTTTCTTGTGAAAACCTGGCAACCCTGACTAGGAATCATAGGAAATGCTTCCTGTCTTCAGTATTTATACTTCGGTTAAACAGTCATTTTAGAAGAAATTTACAGTCATATGAAGAGCCAGACAGTTTGGCATGAAGAAAGTTCAGCCCATAGTTTAGATGTTTGAGTGAAAACCAAGTAGTAAAACACTTTGGAGGCCTTAAAGGTCCCCTGAAATGCTTAGAAACATGCAGCGTTACTCTATGTGTTGACGTCATTTTAACTGAAACAGGAAGACAGGGCGGTACATATCAAGCAGCCCCGCCCCTTTTTAAAATAGCCAATAGCGTTCGTTTATATCACAGCTTGGGCTGTGACTACGTGCCGTTCACTGTACAGAAAATACTAATTCTGTGGACAAGTGACCGATTTCAGCCGCGGCTTCAGCGTCTAATTTATAGTGTAGGGGGCGGGCGCTTCGGATTCTAGAGAGCATTTGATTGGACAGAAAGTTTGATGAGAAGCTGAAGTATGATGTGACGTCAAAAAAAAAAAAATCGTTGAGCCGTTTTGGCGGAAGTGACGAACTGCAAGCTTTGAATGCTTATATCTTCTAAATGCGAATTTTGTCACTGTTTTGGAGCACACTGCCTTATAGATAACCTTAAGACTAACATATTGATACTAACACCCAAAAAACGTTAATTTTGATTTCATGGGAACTTTAATGTGGGATGAGACAGAAATCAATAACATATTTCAGGTATTTTTTGGTTTCTATATTCAAAACATGGAATATACACAGTATATTCATATTCAAAACATGGAATATACACAGTTACGAGTTCTATGCGAAATAGAATGCTTGTGTCATTCATAAAATCTAATAACCGCTGATCTTCTGTTCCAAATATAAAGGGTTTCTGGTGCTGCACATTGTTCCTTTGGAATCAGTTATGCATACTTTCAGATTTTTCAGTTTATGTCAGTTTATTCTTGGTTTGGCCTTGTTTGTTGCAGCTGGAAAATATTGGTAATTTCGTCCGAGCCATTCAAGAGTATGGACTGAGGCCACATGATATATTTGAGGCCAACGACCTGTTTGAGAACGTCAACCACACTCAGGTCCAGTGCACGCTTATTACACTGGCTGGGATGGTGAGTCACACGTTATGAATTTCAATACAGAAATGATAAGGACTACCTCCAGACTGAAGATTAAGAACTTCTGTAATATTCATACTTTTTATCTACATTTCGAGAGTTCACAGTAAGGAGATTCATATGGGAGTGTTTAACTGTTAGCAGAGAGATTAACATCAAAACATGTGGTATTTGAGCTGCATGATCAGTCGTTTTTCCACAAACCAACAGTCAAGCAAACACCAAAAAAGGAATCTCTCTTCTCTTTGTGTGTTCAACATATACGTTTGTTTTTTATATGAAATAGTAACATCCTATACTTCCACTTCTTAAATGTAAAATGTCTGGTTGCTTTATTATTTACATACTTGTATTAATTTGTCATTATTTTGAAATGCAGGCGAAGTCTAAAGGCTTCCATTCTAAATACGACATTGGAGTGAAATACGCAGAGAAACAACAGCGCAAATTTGCTCCTGAGAAACTAAAGGAAGGACGCAACATTATTGGTCTGCAGGTCAGTAGTTGTTCATCAGTAATGCCTTTTTCTTTGAATATAAAAATAAATGAAATAAGGGTTAAATTAAAGCCTTATGCATTGGAAAAAAAATATAGCAATGCCTGTTACTGCTATTTTTTGATCAAATCAAATTAAATTCAATGGTAAGCATTATATATTATGATATTAATATTATTTTATATATACATATCTTTATATTTATTTACATTTTATTTTGATGTATTTATTAAATATTGTTATATTTTATATTTATGTTTTTAAAATTATACACTACTGTTCCAAAGTTTTATTTTAAAGGAATTATTACTTTTTATTCAGCAAGGATACATTAAATTGATTAAAAGTGAAAGTAAAGCCTTTTAAAATGTTACAAAAGATTTCTTTTGAACTTTCTATTCATCAAAAATCCTGAAAAAAAGTGCCACGGAAATATTAAACAGCAAAAAAACTTTTTCAATATTGACAATAAAAATGAATGTTTCTTAAGCAGCCAATCAGCATATTAGAATGCTGAAAATTCAGCTTTGATCACAGCACTAAATTACATTTTAAAATATATTCAAATAGAAAACAGTTATTTTAAATTGTAATACAATTTCAGAGTATTACTGTTTTACTGCATCAGATAAATGCAACCCTGGTGTGGCTTCTTTCAAAAACATTTAATTTTTAATTAACAAAAAAATGTCAATTATTCCAAACCTCTGACCCATAGTGTATGTTATATAATTGTCAGGACATTCTTTATCTATATAATTTTCCCAGTTCTTTTTCTTTTCACTCTTTTGCATTTTCAGATGGGCACCAATAAGTTTGCCAGTCAAAAGGGCATGACGTCTTATGGCACACGGCGTCACCTCTATGACCCTAAGACGGGGATGGAGAATCCTCTGGACCAATCAACAATCAGCCTGCAGATGGGCACCAACAAAGGAGCTAGTCAGGTGCTCAAAACAGTTTTATAATCATGCTCTTATTGTTTTACAATTGCTAGTACTGTTCGTGAATTGCACAAATTGTTGCTTATTTCTTTTCTGTTTCCTCTTCTGAAGTCCGGCATGACGGCCCCCGGCACCAAGCGCCAGATCTTCGATAAGAAGCTGGACATGGAGATGTGCGACACCTCTATCGTCTCGCTGCAGATGGGCACCAATAAAGTGGCGTCCCAGACCGGCATGACGGTGTACGGTCTGCCGCGTCAGGTGTATGACAGCAAGTACTGCTCCAGCCCTATTGACTACATCAACAACGGCCAGGACTCAGAGATGGATGGATATCGGGATTCCGACTAGGATGAACAGACAGCTGCCAGCACACTGCTTTTTAAAAGTTCACCTGCACTCTTTTTGATATTCCAAATTCATGTTGACCAGTAGGAGCAGCTTGAACTGTTTCCTGACATAACAGCGACCGATCAAAGCTGAGAACCTTCGTAGAAAACAAGCTTTTCTACTTTTCTTTTTTTACATACAGGCTTTTCCTGCTTCTCACTTTGTAGTTTTAATATGATTAATTTTTCAGTTTTATTTTATTGTTATTTTGAGTGTGCAATTCTCCCATCTCCTGCATGGCCAGATTTTCTCATATGAAAAAATAATGCAGATGATAAATATGGATATATTATTTATGATGCCTCATAGTTACATAGACACTACTGGTCAAAAGTTTAGAATCATTTAGATTTCTTAATGTTTATTAAAAGCAGTCTCTTATGCTCACAAAGGCTGCATTTATTTGATTAAAAATACAGTAAAACAATGAAACATTATTTCAATTCAAAACAACTGTTTTCTATTTGAATATAGTGTAAAATGTCATTTATTTCTGTGATGCAAAGTTGATTTTTTTTAGCATAATTACTCCAGTCTTCACTTGTAACTTGTAGGAATAAATTAAATTTTAAAATATATTACAATAGAAAAGTTATTTTAAATAATAATATTTCACAATATGACTGTTTTTACTATATTTCTGGTCAAATAAATGCAATCTTAATGAGCACAAAAGACTTTTAAAATGATATCTTAATTATTCCAAACTTCTGACCTATAGTGTAATTTAAGTGGATTTGGTCACACCAGCAGCTCCTATGGTGTGCACACTTTAATAGGTTCCATGATGCTTTTTTAATTGGATGGAGGAAGAGGAATCCACCAAAGATGCCCCACTAGTTAATTTCCTGAAGAAACTCGGATGAACTTAACCTAACTACTGCATCTAGGAGATTGTCTGGGTTTTGGCGTTCAACTATAAGCTTCAAAACAACGTTTAAATAATGTCGATTTTGCATAATTGTTTGAAAAGGTGTTAACCCTGCTCCAGCACACCTGCTTGTAGTTCTCAAGCAATTCCGAAGGTGTTGATTAGCTGGTTCAGATGTGTTAAATAGAGCTGCAGGAACTGAGTTAGAAAGCCCCGCCCTTAAACGCTGACTCACTGACAGGAACGCTATTGGAGAATGTTGATCCAGGAGCTGGGGTAAACGCAGTAAGCTTCTTCATTCATCATAACATATGCATGTGGAGTCACTACTAAGAAAATGAGAAATCCAAAATGGCCAGAGGTTCTAAAATCTCAAGGTTTCAGAGATGTCTTTTGTAGTACAGAATAGTATTTCATCAAGCTACAGATGGTCCACAAAGCAGTTTATCTACATTATTTTAATAAATATAATACAGTACAGTTGGTTAAAGACATTTTATAATTAATTAAGCTAGTATTATGACTGTTTATAGGGAGGATTTGGGGCAGTCTGGCCAAAAATATTCCAAAACTTTTTTTGATTCAGTTTATCCTTTATAAAAGTAAATAGACATAGACAGACAAATAGAGAACTACTGTTTTTTTTCATTACCTAATCATACTGTGAAAAATCATGTGAACCAAAACTGACAATGGCGCTTTTTTTTTTTTTTAGAAAAATGACTGTCACCCCCAGACTATATAGGAATGATTCCGTAAACTTGCATATATGCGAGCGTTATTTTAGCCTGCCAAACCTGATACTCAATTATCAAAGCGACCGATCATATCACAAGCAAGACCTGCTCATGATTTAGGATGGTTGGGAGTCTACATATAAAATAAGTTTTAATGTGCAGAGTTAATATATTTAGCTATTTTAAACTAAATAGTTTTGACATGACTAGATTTCGCCTCATCATGTAATTCAGTTATTGCAATTATTACAGATTTGTATATTTCATTTATATAACGTTGTGTGTTACGGTATGTCATTGTTTTGCATTGCCGCTGGGAACAGCCGAACACAAGATCATAAAACAGTGAATCTCCCTTTTGTTGATGTAGCGTGTCCCTCTTGCATCAATGCTTCTAATGTCTTTATTTATGAGGCTTACCAACAATGGCTGAGCAAGTGAAAAACTAATAAATCACTATTTTCAAATTATTTGTCTTTATTTTCATGAAACGGAAATGTTTGTAACATTACATTTTAACTGATTGCACAACAGAAACAGACCACAGTTTTCCACAAGAGAGAATATGCAAATGATTTATTGATACTACATGGTCTTATAAAAACCTAAATTGTAAAATACACAAGATGAACTAAAAGAGTAGAAACCAATGAAAACAGAAAAATGGCTATTAATGACATCTGTTGCATTTTCTCAGCATTTCTGTAACCCTAAACAAAAGGGAAAAGGCTGGATTTGAAACCATCATCTCAATGTTGCCTGAACCTCCTTCTGTGGCTTTATTAGATCATTCTTTCAGCTTCAATTCAAAATTGAACAGTGAATCAATACAGAAGTTTCAAACAAACAAACTAAAGTCTTTAAGTGTATTTGGTCATCTGTGACATTTGACCCTGCAAAACTACTGATTGGCTGCTTCACAAGCGTCTATCCAATCACTGTACACGTCCACCGGCTCTGAGAGATCTGAGAGAGAGATTAAGGACAAGAACCAGCATCACATTAAACAAATAATTCACCCAAAAATGAAAACTTGCTGAGAATGTACTCACCCTCAGGCCATCCAAGATGTAGATGAGTTTGTTTCTTCATCAGAACAGATTTGGAGAAATGTAGCATTACATCACTTGCTCACCACTGGATCCTCTGCAGTGAATGGGTGCCGTCAGAATGAGTCCAAACAGCTGATAAAAACATCACAATAATCCACACCACTCCAGTCCATCAGATAACATCTTGTGAAGTGGAAATCTGCATGTTTGTAAGAAACAAATTAATCTTTAAGTCGTTGCTTCCGGCTAAAATACGAGTCCTCTATTCGTATTCTCCAGTCACCTCGTCTGAATCCGGAGAGAAATATGCACAGATCAAGCACCGTTTACAAGAGAAAACATTATAAAAAAGTTCTAAACAAATATTCGGGTAGATTTTGATGTGAGAGGACAACAAGGGATGAACTTTTTCACTGGATGAAGCGTTATTATGGACTGATATTTTGGTCAGAAGTGAAGGTTTAATTTTAAAACCTCTTAATTATGGATTTGTTTCTTATACAAACACGCAGTTTTTCAGTTCACAAGACAATAACTGATGGACTGGAGTGGTGTGGATTATTGTGATGTTTTTATCAGCTGTTTGGACTCTCATTCTGACGGCACCCATTCACTGCAGAGGATCCATTGCTGAGCAAGTGATGTGATGCTACATTTCTCTAAATCTGTTCCAATAAACAAACTCGTCTACATCTTGGCTGGCCTGAGGGTGAGTACATTTTCAGCAAGTTTTTATTTTTGGATGGACTATTCCTTTATTAATAATATACATCATGCAATAAATACAGTTACTCATACTCTTTTAATTGATCAAATACATGTCTGTTTCAGTTAGGTTTTGAGAAGGATACAGGTTATTGGTGTCTGGAATTCCTCTAGACACACAGTACAGGATATTATCCCCGTATTTCGACTTCGCTCCCTGGAATAAAGTAAAAATGTTGAGTATTAGTGATTTTTTTTTTTTGTTTTGTTGCATGCAAAAGATCTTTAAGTAACACTTAAGGAGTTTTATTCTTACATCTTAACGTCACATGATTTCTCGTGGTTACAGAAGGGGCAGGTAAACTGGGTGTCCAGGTTTCCCGTCATCTTTTTCTTGGGAGGGGGTTTTCTCTTCGACTTTCTGCGTCCCATCTTTTACTTCATGGAGGACATAAAGCACAAATAAAATCAGACCAAATATACTTTAAAGCAATCTTTAAATACATGAACATTAAATGAAGGAGCTGCTTGTGTCAAATATACACAAACAGAAGCAACAGCCTCTAGCAACCATGAGGTTTACAACATAAACACCGATCAAGGTAACCTTTATGTGATGCCATTTAGCATCTAAAAATGTGCAATTCATATACATTCTTTCTGATATTAGATTAAACCACATTGACTGTGTATTTTGTCTCAAACTGACAAACAATTAAACAGTTTTGTGATATTTTAAAGGTGTTCTAGGTTCTAAGCAACATATACACAGAAAAACAAACACAATCAGTAAAATGGAAATACAATGAAAACCCTAGCAAAACCATATGGTCAAAACACTCACGATATCCGTTATACTTAAACATTTAAGAAAGACATTATGCTTAAACAAACAAAAAAAAATCTCTTACCAAACTGCGATTAATGAGAGGCGACTCTGAGAAAACCAGCACTCACCGTCTACAAAAAAATAAACAGAAGATTTACTTCCGCGCGGTCGTCTTCTTCTTCTTCTTCTTTGGAATTTTTTGGCGTATTCCGCAGAGCTTGTTTGTTCCCCTATTCCTTTGCTTTATTTATTTATTTAACTATCAAATTCGTTTATTTAATCCTGTTTCTACTATATATTCCATTACTATTCTTTGATTAATACCTTCAATACCTTCTCTTAATCCGTTTCCTAATATCCAATTTATCTTTTATTTTCTTTATTATTACCATTTAAGTTCTTTATCAATTTAATTCTCTCTATATTATATTTCCGACATTTTAATATTACACGTTCAACGGTTTCTATTACTCCACAAAAAGCACATTTACCTGTAATATTTTTACCTATTTTGTATAGTGATGCATTTAGTCCTGTGTGCCACTTCCGGTTCTGTGGCTGCGGGTCTATGGCTGCGGTTCTGAAACTGCTGGTGCTGCGGGTCTGCAGCTGGATACTATTGGGATCTGAGCGCCCTCTAATGTTAAACACCAGAACTACAACAGAGTTCAAAACAGTTTATTTGGGGAGAGAAAACGGTGTATAATTTCAATGAATATCATTGTGTTCATTCGTTGCGCATTGTTTTTCAGGATTCTTTGGTGAATAAAAAGTTTAAAAAGAACAGCGTTTATTTAAAATATAAAACATTTCTAACAATCTAAGTTTTTATTATCACTTAATTAACACATACTTGCTGAATAAAAGCATTCATTTCAGAATCCTGAAAAAAGTATCACAGGCTCCATAAACATATTAAGCAGCACAATTGTTTCCATTATTGATAATAAATTGGCATATTAGAATGATTTCTGAAGGATCATGTGACACTGAAGACTGGAGTAATGATGCTGAAAATTCAGCTTTGCATCACAGGAATAAATTACATTTTAAAGTATAGTAAAATAGAAAACCGTTAGGCCTATTTTAAATAGCAATAATATTTCGCAATATTACTGTTTTTTTTTTTTCTCTGTATTTCTGATCAAATAAATGCAGCCATGATGAACAGAAGAGACTTCTTAAAAAAACAAAACAAAACAAAAAACATTACAAATCTCACTGATCCCAAACTTTTGAACGGCAGTATATATATATATATATATATATACAGTGGGTACGGAAAGTATTCAGACCCCCTTAAATTTTTCACTCTTATATATATATATGTATATATATATATATATATATATATGTATATGTGTATATATATATATATATGTGTGTATGTATATATATATATATACTGTATATGTATGTATGCTCTGACCCCTGTCGTTAAACATCAGAACTGCAATATTACCCAATAAATTAATTACATGAGTATAAACAAACTATAATTCAATTATTTTAAGAAAATCAAAAAAGTCTGTATTCTACCTATATAAAATTGAAATAAAATAATGAAACTAAATAAAAAGAACTTAAAAATGACAAAAGCACATAAGAAAATTACTAAAACTTTCAAATTAAAATGAAAACTTAAATATAAAAATAAAAGGTCATTGAAAATATTAATAAATACTATAATAGTACATACATTATACTAAAGCAACACTGACTGTTATATTACTGTTATAACTTAAAATATAATCTATATGACTGAATGATTTCATGATAGTTATCTGCTAGAGTTAATTAGTTACAATTTTGGGTGGGCGTTAGACAGACAAGCAGCTCCTTGCATCGTGATTGGATGACATACGTCCATATATTTGAATAAGAGAGCGTGATTGGGTGGTGTGAGCACGGGGGCGGGACTAACAGGGTAGGTGTGATATCGAGCAACAGGAGCTGAAATTTTGTGCAGAAGATATACTTCGAAACTGATCGTAGAAAAAGACTTGTATAAAAAGACTCAAAACTCGGGTACGTATTTTCTATAGACCGACGGAACTGACACCAAGAAGGAAATTGGTTCAGTGTGTCACTGCTTGCGTAAGTAACAGAGAAATTGCGTGAACGACTATCGCGGAAGTCTTGAAACGTGCTGTTGTCATTTTGTTATTAACGGGACAGAAAGTAAACTGGTGCAAATTATATTAGCGGATCCAAAAGCATAACCGATCAGGATCATCTGTAAGGTTTTTAGGCGCAAAAACTACAGGATCTGTTTTGCAATTGTATGTTGTTCTCGACAATTTTATCAACATCAGTACATACACACAACTCTTATCTATACTGACGCACTTTAAATGTATGTGCACGCATAACGGCATAATGAATGTTATATATAATTTGTGAAATGTTCTGCATATATAGCTTTATATTTAGATGAGATTGTGAATCTTTATGTATTCTAATGCAGATTTTTTGAGACCTCTTTATTTGAAACATGCTGATTATTTATTTTTATTATTATTAATATTATTCCATTTTCAGAAGTTAATTATGGCTACTGAGGGAGACCCAACTGGCTTTGTGAAAGTGCTTCACCTTCTGGTGATTTCTTTCATCTGGGGAATGCAGGTGTGGGTGTCTTTCATAGCAGGTAAATTAATATACGCAAGTGTTATGATAATTATATCATAATATAACATGCCATATGTACTTCTAATTCCTCTTTATATTTTCAGGTTTTGTGCTGATTTCCCAGGTATCCATGCACATGTTCGGTCTTGTGCAAAGCAAGTTATTCCCATTTTATTTCTATTGTCTGCTGGGTGGAAATGCAGTCAGTCTGGCCATATTTGCTGTGTACCACCCTAGAGAACTGCTGGACTGGCATGAGGGCATACAGGTGACCAATCAAAACTTTATGCATTCTGCATGATTCATTAAAGGAATATTTGCTGAAAATGTGCTCTCAGGCCATTCAAGATATAGATGCAGTTTGTGTCTTCATAGGAACAGATTTTGAGAAATTTGTCATTGCGTCACTTGTTCACCAGTGGATCCACTGCAGTGAATGGGTGCCGTCAGAATGAGAGTCCAAACAGCTGATAAAAACATCACAATAATCCACAAGTAATCCACACCACTCCAGTCCATCAATGAATGTCTTGTGAAGCGAAAAGCTGCATACTAGTAAGAAACAAATCCATCATTACGACATTTAAACTTTATCGCTTCTGGCTAAAACATGAGTCTGTAACCCATAATAACGCTTCCTCCAGTGAAAAAGCCCATCCCATTTTGTCCTCTTTATATAAAAAAAACTGTCCTGGACTGCTTTCACTTGTAAACAGTGCTTGATCTGTGCATATTTCTCTCCCGATTCAGATGAGGTGATTTTTATTTTTTACAAGCGAAAGCAATTTTACGGATAGAGGTCTCATATTTTAGCTGGAAGCAACAGTTTAAAGTTAAAAACACCTTAATGATGGATTTGTTTCTTACAAACATGCAGCTTTTCACAAACTGTTAATTGATGGACTGGAGTGGTGTGGATTATTGTGATGTTTTCATCAACTCTCATTCTGACGGCACCCATTCACTGCAGAGGATCCAGTGGTGAGCAAGTGATGCAATGCTACATTTCTCCAAATCTGTTCTGACGAAGAAACAAACTCCTCTACAGTTTGGATGGCCTGAGGGTGAGTACATTTTCAACAAATCTTTGCTCCTCTTTCCTCATTTTGTTTCCATTCCTTTAAACAACCCCTCTCGCTCTGTTTTTATTTTTCTGAGCAGATGACTCTTTTCTTTGTGGCTGTGATCATGGCCGGCTTGAACGCGCAGTGGTTTGGTCCATCTGCCACAGAGAGCATGCTGGTCATGCAGGAGATCGAGAAGGAACACGGTCTGGGAAATCAGGTGGGTATGAGCTCCAATAAGGAAGGATACGCCAAACTCCGTGAGCAGGACCCGAAATACAAGGAGCACAGGACCACCTTCTACCGCTACCACGGTCTGTCCAACCTCTGCAACCTCATAGGCTTTTTCTCCACTACCATCAATCTCATTTACCTGGCCCTCCATTTGGGAACTATATGAGTGTGTTGTGTGTCTTTGAGAAAGAGTGCAGTCTGACAGATATTTTTAGAGAATTATCCTGTATATGTTCTCTCTTTTTGTCAGACTGATTTGTATAACAATAATGCTTCTAGTTTTTATACAACAAGAGTGTTTAGTGTTCGTTAAGGTTAAAAGAACCAAATTCAGACCCCTTGACTTGAGCCAAAAGTGAACCGAGTGAAAAGAGCCCAGTTGATTTTGTATTTACAGTCCCTAAAAGTGGACTCTCACTTAGAAATGTTAGGAATCATGTGGACATTTTTTGACTTATAAAAAAAATCTCTATATAAGGCATAATTCTTGTGAATTGCTTTCAGACAAAGGATAAAAACACGTTTTTTAGGTCTGGATCCTATGACGTTTTTTATTTTGTAAACATGCTCAGCCATTTTAAATGATATTATTGATTTTAACAGTATTTCTCCCTACTTTAAAATGCTTCAAAGTGGGTAATTGCACTGGATCTGTTTATAATAAACAGACCGTCTGTTTAAACTTACATTAGTGATATTATAGCTGTTTATGATTGCTTAAAGAATGTGTTTTAATTTGTTGGTGAAGTATGTACTATAATTCTTACCTGTTTTTGCCTTTATGCTTCACAGTGTGAACAATACATATATTTTCCCACTGGAGGGCCGTTTGTGGAAAGGCTCTTGGTAATGAGAGGACCAGTTTTAGGATTGTCTATCATAAAATGCTGTTTACATTTCCTATAGAATGAATGACACTATAATGGCAATTAAACTCTATGGAAAAAGCAATGAATAGTAAATTAACTTTGTAAACATGATGTTTGAACAGCAAAGTAAACTTCCTTTTATCACTGGACATGGAGAAGAGTGCTGTTGAAGATTCAGTGACATACACATGTGATTCCGTTGATTTTTCTGCATATTCAAACCTTTGCTGTGAATATTATTTTTTTTTAAGTGTTTCATACTGTTTTTATCATATTTTTCCGTTTAATTTTAAGAAAGCGAACTTTGTGCGTGTTTGTGTCCATTGGGAATCTTGAGTTTTTTTGTTTGTTTGTTTGTTACTGACACTGAACAAGCATTTATTCAGTTAAAGAAATATCAAACACCTGTGCATGTTGAGTTTTAATTAAAATAAATAAATACAATTTACTGCAAATACTCTGAAAGAGTTGTTCCAGACATCTAGTAACAAGTGTTGTGTGTTTATTTGCATTTACAGCTTTTTTACTGCAGCTATACATACATGCTGACCAGAATTCAGTGACACATACATGAGAGGAAGTGCAAAGGAGTATTCTAATGAATGTCGTTTCATTAATTCTGCTATAGTGATAATACCCTATTCATACAAAAAAACTAAATACCTTTTGTGCATGATTGTGACCAATTTGGTGCCATTAAAGGAATAGTTCACCTTCAGTTGCTGGTCCCCATTGACTTGCATATATACACTATAGTGTTTTCCCCCCCATACTATGGAAGTCAAGGGGGATGGACCAGCAACTGAAGGTGAACTATTCCTTTAACTTGATTTGCATTTCATAAATTGGAATTTGAATTGAATTGTCCACAACTCACAGGATGTAATGGCATTCTGGGAAATGAAGTGTTTTTTTCACCCGAGTAGTAATGAAAAATGTATTTTAAAAAAACTATTTATTTATTAAAAGTCTATCTGTTTATCTGCCAGGCCGATAAAACATTAAAACTTGAAGACTTGTAAAATAAAAAAAAATAAAAAAATTTCAGATAAGGCTCTTTAAATCCTACGTCCTTATATTAAAATTGAAATTGTAATTCTGCATTCTGTTTACTAGCTCAGTTCAAATTCAGTAATCGAGTTGAAAATTAAAAGGTATTTAAAATGATAGATAGATTAGATAGATCATTTTTATTTTACATTTGCTATATCATTAAAGTATATGCAGAAAAGTTTGTAAAGAGGAAGAAAAAGAACAGGTTCTTCGGGACGGAGCTGGAAGCTGCTGTGTAAACACTTCAGATCCGGTATCTCCGTCACGCTCGCACGCACGCAAGCACGCACACTCAAACACAATCACACACGCACCGACGGAGTTACACTCGCGTTTCCACGCGAGGAAATCCCGGTGTTGTGCCGAATTCTGCACCCCTGCCAGATTATGCACCCCTCGTTGAAGTCGCTACCTGATTGCCTAATCCCAACCCCACCCCTAATCCTAACCCCTCCCCCACACCTACTCCTAAACCTACCAATACTAGGGGGTGCATAATCTGGCAGGGTGCAAATTTCGGCACTACACCGGTCCCGGAGCACGAGATAAACCGCCGAGTATCCGTGTGAAGGTAAGAACCTCCTTTAATTGAGTCTTTGCGTTTGAGAGTCATTTTGACCCTCATGCACCTTTCTCTGTCTCCGAATGGGAACAGCTTTATGAACTTTGGGTCATGCAGCACATGAACTGTTAACATTTTGTTCATCATGCCATCGTGATTATGTCTTTGTTGTTCTTT